CTCCTGAGATGTGTGCAAACCTAGTAACCAACTACAAGAAACATCTTACCTCTGTGCTTGCCAACAAGGGTTTCTCCACCAAGTACTAAGTCATGTTTGGCTTGGGGATCAAATACTTATTTTACTCACTGAACTGAAACTCCATTTATAACATTTGTATCGTGTTTTTTCTGGATTTTTGGTTGATATTCTGTCTCTATCATTTAAAATACATCTATGACAAAAATGATAGGCCCTTAATTTTTTTGTAAGTGGGCAAACTTACAAAATCTGCAGGGGTCAAAGAATTGTCTTCTTCTCACCAAGCTTCTTGCTGATGGTCTTGCAGCCCATTCCAGCCTTGTGCAGGTCTACAATCTTGTACCTGACGTCATCTGACAGCTCTTTGGTCTTGCCCATGGTGGTGCCCAAGAAAGATATTCTGTGGACAGGTGTCTTTCATACATGACAGGTTGTCATTAGGAGCGCCTTCTTAAATTGACAGGACTAATCTGTGTACCACATGAGCACATAGCCAGTCTGTGGGAGCCAGAATCATTGTTGGTTGGTAGGGGATCAAATACTTATTTTACTCACTTAACTGCAACTCAATTTTTACCATTTGTATCATGGGGTTTTTTCTGGATTTTTGGTTGATATTCTGTCTCTATCATTTAAAATACACCTATGATAAATTATAAGCCCTTCATTTCATTTCTTACAAAATCTGCAGGGGATCAAATAATTATTTTCCCCACTGTATATACAAGGAAGCTTTTATCTGCAAACTGAAAAGCTGATCTCTGCCCTTCTCTCTCTCCTCCTATCAGCATGTTCCCTGCACTGCAGCACAACTGTTTGGCTCCTTGTGCTGCTTCTCCTCATAAGCTCTGCTGTAAAAAAGGACTGCAGGAGGCTGATATCAGGTCGAATTTAGGTACTTGCCCTGCTTACATTTAATGATGTACAAATGAATACAGGGCTTCAATAATGAGTATCTTTTTATATCTCCCTGGAATTCAGCTTTAATTGATATAACATCTCTAAACATCCGGCATGCAAATACCAGAGCAGAGGTATAAGACGATGCACAGTACATGTGGAATGTTGCATTACTCACATTGCGATCGTGCCCCTTTATAATATTCTGCTTGTGCAGTTTTGTGATCCAGCTGTGCGTTTTCAGCCTTCAGACGTCCATCTCCGGGAACAGCAGCTGCAAAGTGTCTGCCTCTGGCAGCAGCTGGTAAAGCCGGGCCGGCACTAAGGCAAATGGGTTAAAACAGGTGTTCCCATTAGTGGGAGATTTGCATGGGAATGACAGCAGAGCTGGCAGACAGAGAGGAGAGATCCAGCGAGGAGCCTCGTCCATCCTCCCACGGTAAATGGTGAGAACACACACAGACTACAAGTCCCAGCACAGCGTCATAAGAACATCCTTCGCCCCCATCCATACTGTGTGTGTTAGCATTTTCAGGCCACTTTTGTTTTTGTTTTTTTGCGCATTTGTATGCGTGTTAGTGTACGATTCAAACGCACATGTTCCTGTGTTACAAATGGCTGTGTGTATAAGTGGGGGCTGCAGCGACCGTCGGCTGGAACTGAACAGAATCAGCAAGGGAAAATGTCACCAGCACACCGAGGATCACCAATATGGGTCCAGAAGTTTGAATGAACGATCACATAGTTACAGCAAGGCAACGTTTCAGAGTCTCGCAGAACCCCTTCATCAGGCATGTGAGGATCACATAGTTTCAGCAAGGCAACGTTTTAGAGTTTCGCAGGACCCCTTCATCAGGCCTGTGAGGATCAGGGGCGGACTGACCATTTGGAAACTCGGGCACTGCCCGAGGGCCCGGGTCAGTAGGGGGCCCTATGAGATACCCCTGGTACCTTTTTCATAGGCTTTTTTGAGTTTGGGCAAGGATACAGGGGCCCCATGATCCCTTATTGCCTGGGAGCCCCATGAGTTGTCAGTCCGCCCCTGGTGACGATCACGTAGTTACAGCAAGGCAACGTTTTGGAGTCTCGCAGGACCCCTTCATCAGGCATGTGCGACTGTGAGACTCCAAAACGTTGCCTTGCTGTAACTGTGATCTTTTGGACCCATATTGGTGATCCTTGGTGTGATGGTGACATTCTCCTTTGTATGTGTGTTTTTGCGTGTTTTCCGTCATTTTGTTTTAGCCATTGGAAAGCTAATTACTAGGAGGAACGGCAGGAAATCACACAAAAAAACATACATTTCCATTCACTTCCATAGAAGTCTATAGAGGCCAAAAACCGCACAACTCGGTCCCAAAGGCGCTTTTTGGAGCTTCAAGCAACACAACATTCAGATGTGAATAGGTACCAATGGATATAATAGGAATAATGATGTTGGGCGCTGAAGCAATTGGGGAAATGCGCTTCAAACCGCTTAGGTCTCATCCAGATGTGCGGCAGCCCTAGTCGCTTCTCTGGAAAGCGTGCAGTGGATCACTTTTCAGAGACAATGACAGGAGGTATGGAGGCGATTTGTTGCCTCCTCACTGCCTGTTTTAACCCAGTAAATGCTGCACCACCATTGTGTGCATTACATGCAGATGCGGCGTGGCCCTATCCACTTGAATGGGTTGCATTTGGTGGTTTTTGACAAAGCCAAGAAGAAAAGCATCGTAGCCGCAGTATGTGTACAGTCCTGAGCTACTGCATTTCCTTTAGTGGGAGTTAAAACAATAACTCAAACAGCTGCTTTTACCACCCCTTGGTCCCCATGTGAACAAGCCCTAATGCGAATCTTCAGGTTTCTAAACCAGGCTTTCAGAGAGGAACAGGAAATACCAAGTATAGGTGGGGTATTTTGGGCTTTTTTATGCATCCCCCTTCCCCAAGCCCGGGGCACCTGCAGAATCCCAATTCCATAGTTACATAGTTAGTCTGGCTGAAAAAAGACAAAAGTCCATCCAGTTCAACCATTAAAAAAAAAAGTTAAAATCCTACACCCACAGTTGATCCAGAGGAAGGCAAAAAAAACCGAGCAAAGAATGTTCCAATTTGCTCCTGCTCCTGCTGGGAAAACATTCCTTCCTGATCCCCCGAGAGGGAATCGGATATTCCCTGGATCAACTTTACCTATAAATGTTATATCAAGTTATATTCTGTGTATCCAAGAAACAATCCAGGACTTTTTTTAAGCACTTTCGACTTTCTACTGCATGGAACCCGGGTTCCTCCTACTAGGTTGCTGAGATGGCCGCATGACATGGTTGGAAGCTTTACCTAGCAGGACTTCCTGTCCCTCTCTAAAGATAATGATGGGATATATCGAGTAGTAGTCACATTCAGCTAGACTCGTTCTGTATTCAGACCTTCTCCAAGCTCCAAGCTTCTTCAGTTCTAAGGCCCCATGTACACGGGACACTACTGAACGATGGAAACTGACTGCTGGAAAACATAGGTTAAAAAACGTCTGTTTAGCTGCGTTTATGCGCATTTGCGTTTAGAAGCGTTTTTTAAAAGATAAGCACAGGAGAACCTCTCAAATGCCCAGAATGCACTGAAAAGTGGTAAATTATTAACTATTTCAGCCTGTTTCAGAGAAATACAGAGAGTAGAAGCAGAGACAGCAGTATGTGTTGAGATTAGTTTAGGTGTGAGTTGCTCATTAACATTTCTTTTGTTTCCAAGGGTGGGAAAGTTGTCTGGTGGAGGGAGTCAATAATCTCACCTGGCAGGGGGTCTTCATGAGGAATTTGAGGTGTGAATGGTCATTAACATATCTTTTGTTTCCAAGGGTGGGAGAGGTCTGAGGTGTGAATTGGTCATTACAAGGTGTGACAAGCTTGGTAGGAACATCCTGTGTTCAGTGTTTTGTCCATTTGAGTACCTTGAAAACGCTTTGCATGCATTTTTCATGATGAAAAAAGGCTCTGGACAGCATCGGGAACTGGAAGAGTTAAAAAAAAATTTCAATCGTAAACGCTTATAAACGCGATTTGCCGCGTTTAGCGTTTGAAACGCTGATAAAATCAACTGCTGAACGCAAGTTTTCTGCGTTCAAAAAAAATGTCAGTAAATTCAACTGCCTGTAAACGACTGTAAATGAAGATGTGTACATGGACACATAGGAAAACATTAGGGAGCGTTCAGGGGCTGCTGAAAAAAAATGCAGAAAAGCTCCTAAACATGACTTTATCAGCTGCAGTGTACATGAGCCCTAATGAGTGTCAGAAGGATACCCCAGCATTCCCCTCTTACTTCCATCGCAGGTACAAAGGATGGAGGCTAGAGGAGGATGGCAGGGACAAACGTGGCAGAACAGGTAGCTATGCCTCCCCACTTCTGTCAAGCTCCAGTCTGCATATGAGACTTGACATGTTTGGTATCCATTTACTCGACCCATCTTCTATTTTGTACAAAATAATTGGAATTACATTTTTGCCTGTGTGCACTAAAATTCTTTTTAGTGTATTTTTCTGTGAAAATATATATTTGATGAACAGCTGCATAAATATCATGCAACAACAAAAAAAAAAAAATTGCAACTATCGCCATTGTATTCTACAGGGACCCTGCTTTCAGAAAAATATACCATGTTCCTCTTGACTTTCTCTCCCTTTGCAATGCCACTGGGTTGAGTGCCATCTGAAGTGGAAAAAGTTGACTACATCTGCCTATATGCCCCCCCCCAACCTCCCACAGTGCCTGCAGCACCCATCAGTCTCCCACATTGCCTCTGCAAAGGCCCCCACCTCCTAGAAAGACCCACAGCCCCCCTTTATAATAAACATCATCCTCTATAAGCCCCCCCCCCTCTAGTGACACCCAGCCCCACCCTGAGCCTTCCAGCATTTCAAAGCATATTTTGCATATTCATATCCTTTACCATGTGAGTATAAGACATTTTTTTATACCGTTGGAAGGCAAGGAAGGTTTTGGAAGAATTTACCAGACCCTGATCTCGCTAAGGTTGTGAACCCCTGCTATAGAGTGTCACTTGAGTGACACCTCAATGTCCCAGGGATGCTGACATCCAAGATGGACCCTGCATTCACTATATCTGGTCTGGTCTCCCCGGACCCACATTCACTATATCTGGTCTCCCCGGACCCACATTCACTATATCTGGTCTCTCAGGACCCTGCATTCACTATATCTGGTCTCCCAGGATCCTGCATTCAGTATATCTGGTCTCCCCGGACCCTGCATTCACTATATCTGATCTCCCAGGACCCTGCTTTCACTATATCTGGTCTCTCAGGACCCTGCATTCACTATATCTGGTCTCCCCGTACCCTGCATTCACTATAGCTGGTCTCTCCAGGACCGCACATTCACTATATCTGATCTCCCAGGACCCTGCATTCACTATATCTGGTCTCCCAGGACCTGCATTCACTATATCTGGTCTCCCAGGACCCTGCATTCACTATATCTGGTCTCCCCGTACCCTGCATTCACTATATCTGGTCTCCCAGGACCTTGCATTCACTATATTTGATCTCCCAGGACCTCGCATTCACTATATCTGGTCTCCCCGGACCTTGCATTCACTATATCTGATCTCCCAGGACCTCGCATTCACTATATCTGGTCTCCCCGGACCCTGCATTCACTATATCTGGTCTACCCAGGACCCTGCATTCACTATATCTGGTCTACCCGTACCCTGCATTCACTATATCTGGTCTCCCAGGACCCTGCATTCACTATATCTGGTCTACCCGTACCTGCATTCACTATATCTGGTCTCCCAGGACCCCGCATTCACTATATCTGGTCTCCCAGGACCCGCATTCACTATATCTGGTCTCCCAGGACCCTGCATTCACTATATCTGGTCTCCCCGTACCCTGCATTCACTATATCTGGTCTCCCCGTACCCTGCATTCACTATATCTGGTCTCCCCGGACCCTGCATTCACTATATCTGGTCTCCCAGGACCCTGCATTCACTATATCTGATCACCCAGGACCCCACATTCTCTATATCTGAGCTCCCAGGACCCTGCATTTACTATATCTGGTCTCCCCGCGGGCCCCGCATTCACTATATCTGGTCTCCCCGGACCCTGCATTCACTATATCTGGTCTCCCAGGACCCTGCATTCACTATATCTGATCACCCAGGACCCCCACATGTTCTCTATATCTGGAGCTCCCAGGACCCTGCATTTACTATATCTGATCTCCCCGGACCCTGCATTCACTATATCTGGTCTCCCAGGAACCCGCATTCACTATATCTGGGTCTCCCAGGACCCGCATTCTCTATATCTGGTCTCCCCGGGACCCGTAACGCATTACTATATCTGAATCCCAGACGCTGCATTCACTATATCTGATCTCCACGGACCCTGCATTTCACTATATCTGATCTACCCCCAGGACCCTGCATTCACTATATCTGATCTCCCAGGACCCTGCACATTCACTATATCTGGTCTCGCCAGGACCCTCATTTACTATATATCTGGTCTGCCAGGACCCTCCATTGCACACTATATCTGGTGTCCCCGGACCCTGCATTCACTATATCTGATCTCCCTGGGACCCTGCTCGATTTCACTATATTTGGTCTCCCAGGACCCGCTTATCACTATATCTGGTCTCCCAGGACGCCCCCGCATTCATCTATATCTGAATCTCTCTGGACCCTGCATTCACTATATCTGATCTCCTTGGAACCTGCATTCACTATATCTGATCTCCCTGGACCCTGCATTCACTATATCTGATACTCCCCGGACCCTGCATTCACTATATCTGGTCTCCCAGGACCCTACATTCACTATTATCTGGTCTCCTCAGGACCCCCGCCATTCACTATATCGCTGGTCTCCAGGACCCTCTCAATTTACTATATCTGGTCTGCCAGGGGACCCTCCATTTCACTGATATCTGGTGTCTCCCTGGACCCTGCATTCACTATATGCTGATCTCCCCTGGACCCTGCTTTCACTATATTTGGTCTCCCAGGACCCCCGCTTTATTCACTATATCTGGTCTCCCAGGACCCCGCATTCATTATTTCTGATCTCCTGGACCCTGCATTCACTATATTGATCTCCCTGGACCCTGCATTTCACTATATCTTGATCTCCTGGACCCTGCATTCACTATATCTGATCTCCCCGGACCCTGCATTCACTATTTCTGGTACTCCCAGGGATACCCGCATTTCACTTATATCTGGTCTCCAGGACCCGCATTCACTTAATATCTGGTCTCCCAGGGATCCTGCATTCTCTATATCTAATCTCCCCTGGACCCTGCATTCACTATATCTGGTCTCCCAGGCCCTACATTCACTATATCTGGTCTCCCAGGACCCTGCATTCACTATATATGGTCTCCCAGGACCCTCAATTTACTATTATCTGGTCTGCCAAGACCCTCCATTCACTATATCTGGTGTCCCCGGACCCTGCATTCACTATATCTGATCTCCCTGGACCTGCATTCACTATATTTGGGTCTCCCAGGACCCACCGCCTTTCACTATATTCTGGTTCTCCCAGCGACCCCGCATTCATTATATCTGATTCTCCTGCAACCTCTGCAACCCTGGCATCACTTTTCAGAGGGACAATGAACAGGAGGTATGGAGGCGATTTGTTGCCTCCTCCCTGCCTCGTTTTTAAACCGAGTAAATGCTTGCACCACCTTTGTGTGCATTAACATGCAGAGTGCAGCGTGTCGGCCCTATCCACTTGGGAATGGGTTGCATTTGGTTGGTTTTTGGGACAAAGCAAAGAAGGAAAAGGCATCGTAGCTCCGCTAGTATGTGTACTATTCCTGAGCTCACTGCCAATTTCCTTTAGTGTGGAGTTTTAAAACAAATAACTCAATCAGCTGCTTTTACCAACCCCTTGGTATTTTTTTTTTTTTTTTGGTCCCCATGTGACACAAGCCCTAATGCGTAATATCTTCAGGCTTCTAAACCTAGGGCTTTAGAGAGAGGAACAGGAAATACCAAGTTTAGGTGAGGTATTTTGGGCTTTTTTTATGGCATCCCCCTTCCCCAAGCCCCGGGCTCCTGCAGAATCCAATTCCATAGTTACATTGTTAGGTCTGGCTGAGCTGAAAAAAGGACAAAAGTTCCATTCCAGTTCAACCATTAAAAAAAAAGTTCAAATCCTGACACCCACAGTTGATCCAGAGGAAGGCAAAAAAAAACCGACGCAAAGAATGTTCCCAATTTGCTCCTGCTGGGAAAAAAATTTTC